CAGTGGAGTATCTTAGATGGCCACTCACAAGCTTTTAAGACCCCAGATGCTGCTCACCAAAGTAGAATGTAGAACATTTTTCTTTATAAACTATGGTATGCCAGTTGAGCTAGCTGTTAGTCTATTTTAGCTCAATCCATTATGGTTCTTGAAGGCCAGCCCTGATGCAGCCATACCAAATTTTGGTCTGTAACTTTTTAGCAATTGGTCCATAAGCCATTCTTAGCCCCCGTTAGCCCAAGATTCCATAGGCAGACCCTTCTTTGGTATACAGGCCTTCTTTGCTTTTTCTATTCTATGAAAAAATGTAGATAAACATTAAAAAAAAAAAAAACAACTCTATTGCTGTGGAGTTAATTCTAACTCATGGCAACTCCGTGTGTTACAGAGTAGAACTTTCCGTAGGGTTTTCTTGCTGTAATCTTTATGGAAGTAGATTACCAGACCTTTCTTCTGTGGCATTACCGGGTAGGTTCAAACTTTCAACCTTTAGGTTAGTTGTTGTTAGTTGCCTTCAAGTTGATTCCAGCTCGTGGTGATCCCGTGTGTGCAGAGTAGAACTCTTCCGTAGTATTTTTAAGGCTGTGACCTTTCAGAAGCAGATCACCAGGCCTGTCTTTCCAGGACCCTCTGAGTAGATTCAAACTACTAACCTTTTGGCTTATAGTTGAGTGCTTAACTGTTGTGAAACCCAAATTACTGTGTCTTATTTTCAGATTTAAAAAATTTTAAATACATTCAGGAAAAACCTGATTTCAGTGGTTGAATGGTTATGTCTGTGAATGATGTCTGTTCCTTTTCTCTTCATGTAAACAGTGTATTATTTATGCTCTTTCTATTTAAAACACTGATATTTAAAAACTACATTCTGGAAGTTTGTGCCACTAGGGGCATTTTACTGATTAGCTGTTAGGGAAATGAGGGTGATCACTCTGGGAAAGACTGTCAGGATTGGCCAATGTGAAACCCTCTTGTTGCCAGTCCCCTCACAACATGTCAGACATCACTAATCAATCCTGAGAGGCTTTCTGCCTGAGCCAAAAGCTGGCCTCAGAACTCAGTTATCTGGCACTACCAGCTAATTGGAGTTGACACTTAAGATGACTCCTATTTACCATCCCAGATCTTTATTATTCATCTGGCTTAAGTTGTGCCAGTTCTCTTTGCTGAATAAATAACCTGAGAACTAGAGGTGTAACATTGATAGGAAGTAGAAATTTTAGTAAATGGTACAGCCTGAGGATGTAACATGAGCAGAATCAGATTCTGACTTTTACAGATGCCACTTATAGCTGTCGCTTACAGCTGTCAAGTTTCTTAACCAATCTGAACCCATTTCTTCATCTGTAAAATGAGGCTAACCCTTACTGGGTTGTTGTGATGATTATATGGTCTAATATGTGTAAAGAAGTTATCATAGTGCCTGAAACGTAATTAGCACTCATATTGTTATTGCTATTATTAATAGTAGCAGCAGTAGTATTAGTACAAAGCACTGACAAAGCTCTTGAGAAAAATGGTTTCTGCTATCAAAGCAATGGCCCAAGGGAAACCAGGCCTAGAGTTTAGTGAAACTCAACTTTCTTTAGGCCTCATTACCTTCTGTATACGAAAGAGATCATAATAAAATTAAAACCTCACTCAAGGTTGCACAACTCTGTGCAATATACTAAAAATCATTGAATTGTACACTTTAAATGGGTGAATTGTATGATACATGAATTAAATCTTAATAAAACAGAAAAGAACCCACAGGCATAACCCACTTAATGCCATTTTTTAAAAGAAAAAGAAAACAATTCTACTGACTTGTGCTTCCAGCTGCCCATGGAGGAATCCAGTCTCTTGCCAAGTCTTCCCAATGTATTTAAAAGTAACAAGAAGCATGTCTTTAGGAATAAGCCCAGTCATATTTCTGCCTCAGTGTCTTTATTCAAGCCCACTGCCCCCAGCTACTTCAGGGGGAAACCTTGTCAGGACCACTGAGGCCTGTGACCTCAGTGTGAACACCACTGTTTCTGTGAGGATACTGCCTGCCAATCTTCTGAAGTTGCCATTGATCTATCAGAAATCTGAGAAAGAGAAACCTGCTCCGTCCCTGTGCCGCCTGTGCCCAGAGCAGTCCTGTTTGACCCAGAGTCTCAGTCTATCATGAAAACAGCTCCTTCAGTTCCTGGTTCCACATCTTTCACTGTGTTGTTGTTGTTGTGAGGGACCATCGAGTTGGTTAACCACTGCGCCGAAATCCACACAAGGGGCCAAGCAGGGAGTAAATGTTATACTACCCTGTCCGTCTCCCATTCCTGATCATCTTTCTTCCCATGAGCCCAAAACAACCCTTTGTTTAGTCCAAAATAAACTTCCTTGGCATAGCAACTAAAGCAGACAGACTTCCATGGGGGCCACCAGACTGTTAACTGAGCCAGACCCTGAGTCCCAGTTTGGGTCGTCTGGGTCCCTGGGTCACTGCGGGGAATACTACATAGTTTAAAGTCAGGAAAGGTGTGCATCAGGGTTGTATCCTTTCACCATACTTACTCAGTCTGTATGCTGAGCAAATAATCTGAGAAGCTGGACTCTATGAAGAAGAACTCAGCATCAGGATTGGAGGAAGACTCATTAACAACCTGTGACGTGCAGATGACACAACCTTGCTTGCTGAAAGTGAAGAGGAGTTGAAGCACTTACTGATGAAGATCAAAGACTACAGCCTTCAGTATGGATTGCACCTCAACAGAAAGCAAACAAAAATCCTCACAACTGGACCAATAAGCAACATCATGATAAATGGAGAAAAGATTGAAGTTGACAAGGATTTCATTTTACTTGGATCCACAATCAACGCCCATGGAAGCAGCAGTCAAGAAATCAAATGAAGTATTGCACTGGGCAGATCTGCTGCAAAAGACCTCTTTGAAGTGTTGAAAAGCAAAGATGTCACTTTGAGGACTAAGGTGCGCCTGACCCAAGCCATGGTATTTGCAGTTTCTCATATGCAGGTGAAAGCTGAACAATGAATAAGGAAGACCAAAGAAGAGTGTATGCCTTTGAATTATGGGGTTGGTGAAGAATATTGAATATGTCACGGACTACCAGAAGAATGAACAAATCTGTCTTAGAAGAAATACAGCCAGAATGCCCCTCAGAAGCAAGAATGGAGAGACTTCGTCTCACATACTTTGGACATGTTATCAGGTGGGACCAGTCCTTGGAGAAGGACATCATGCTTGGTAAAGAGTCAGCAAAAAAGAGGAAGACCTTCAATGAGATGGACTGACACAGTGGTTGCAACAAGGGGCTCAAGCATAGCAACAATTGTGAGGATGGCACAGGACTGGGCAGTTTTTTGTTCTCTTGTACATGGGGTTGATACGAGTTGGAACCAACTCAACGGCCCCTAACAACAACAAATGAAACATTTTTGTCACATGCCTTGGTTTCTCTTAGGGCCTTTGATAAGCTTTCATATCAGACAGGTATGTTTATATGTATGAAATTTATATATTTATATTTTTAAAAATCATATCCAAATGATTAGAAAGTAGAATTACTGAGTAAGACCTAGGTATAACCATCAACTGAAGGAATGCCATCATTCATTACACTTCTTTGTGAAAAAACATCATGTAGTATAAGGAAAACAAAGAAAACAAAAGGATTATTTAACAGTTCTGAAAAATAAAAAGATTTTCTTGTTAGTTCATTTCTTAATTTGGAAATAAACAGTACATCATTTCTAGCCAAAGCCAGGAGACTTTATTATTAAAGATTTTCATATACTTAAGGACGTGTTCCTTTTTTTTAATGTTTTATTTATTTTTGGTGGCGATATACACAACCAAATGTGCATCTGTTCACAGTTTCTCCATGAACAGTTCAAGGACATTGGTTACATATTTCACATGGTGTCACCATTCTCACTGTCTCTTCCCATATTGTTTCCTCACCATTAACAGAGGCTGTCTGCCCTTTAAAGTTCCCATCTGTGCTTTAGATTAACTGTTGTCAGTTTAAACTCACACAGATAATTAGAAGAGCACAATGCCGAAGGCAAACGTTCTGTATTAATTCGGCTACACTGTTGGAGACATATTCTTTCTTAACATGCCAGGGCATAGGTAGCCACGGGTCCAGGTACGCCTAGAGGGAAGGAAAGTCTTGTGTGAGAAAGCATAAGAAGGGGGAGAAGGTCTGGCAGGTCCCAGAGGATGAGGCAAGTAGGAGGTTCAACCATTCCCAAATCACTGGAGGTGGATGGGGCACAGGGTCATAGGCCAGCTGTGCCTTGGGCAGCAGGTCAGCAAGTACCAGTGACAAGCGAACCACCCAGAACGTGCAACCCATCCCCAAGCAGGACGCAGCTGCTTTTGGCTCTGTTTTTAACTACTTAATCTCTATAATTGAATTTTTTGAAGGGAAATCTTTCTAGTTAAAGAACTTGTATAATCCCATTTGCTTTTAGGAGTCTCTGATGTTTCCCTATAAATGCACAGTTATTAAGCAGATTACACTGACTGACAGATGTGGGGGGAACCCAGGGCCCTGGAGTGTTCATCAGAGCCTGAAGGTAGTCAGAATATTAGAAGTGAGTCCTTCCTCTATGGGGACTGGACCAGGATGCAGAGGGCTCCACATTTGAAGGGCAAGACATTTCTGAACATATCCCAGCCAATACAGGTTATGATTGTGAGAGAAAAACCAGTCGTATCTCAGTTAAATGTAGTTTTGACATTAGAGGCTTATACACATTCTAAGTCATAGACAGTGTGTCAAGAGTAGAACTGTACTCCATAGGGTTTTCAATGGCTGATTTTTCAAAAGTAGATCACTAGGCTTTTCATCTGAGGTGCCTCTGGGTGGACTCAAACCACCCACCTTTCAGTTAGTGGCTGAGCGTGTTATCCGTTAGCACCATCCAGGGACTCCATATTTAAACATATATGACATTATACATCCCTGTGCACCTGTGTGAGTTGTGGGCTAAATCCTTCTGTGATGAACCATCCCTGACTCACTCACACAGTCTCATAGGGGCTTACCTTATGATGGATATGCTTAATTGCTGCAGTTTGTTGCCCTCCTTGTGAATAAAAACCTTTGCTCAAGACTTTTATAGTTCTAAAATACCAACCCCAAAGTTGTCTAACTAGCTGTCTTCTGAATATGTACAGATTCAGAATCAATACAGTGTAAAGATTTTTTATAGACACCAAACATACCAAGAAATTAAAAGAAACAGTGATTGACTTCTTGGATGGTCTGCTTATTGGGCTTAGGTCATGAAAACATCGTCACTGAACCTCACAGAGCCCAGAGTCTGATCAGCAAGGCCCTTAGGAAGAGGAAAAATGTCAGCTCACTTGGCAGAACTGGATTTTGTCTTGGAACATTAGGCTGAGATCATTGAGGGGAGGAACATTTGATAGGCGCTGACTTCCTGACCATTTCTTTCCAAGAGAAGGATATTTTCTAGCCTCAAAAAAAAAAAAGATCTTATCCACTGGTGCACATAGTTTTAGGGTCATAGATCTCTCCCCAACAGCCTAGACTAGATAGAAAGAATGCTATACACTTTGGGAAAGAGTCATTGTGACCTTCAGTATATAGTTCTTAAACATGATTTAATAGTCTTTGGAGAAAGATTTGTGTTTATTTTTCCCTCACCTCAGTCTGCCCTTTACCATATGAGTACAACTTTTTTTCTGCTCACAAATGCAGTGGCAAGTTGCTGACAAGAATCTAGAAAGAGCCTGCTTTGAGCTTTTGGAAAAAAAAAAAAAGTTGACGTCAAGTTGACTGCAACTCATGACAACTTCATATGTGTCAGAGTAGAACTGTGATCCACAGGGTTTTCAGTGGCTGATTTTTTTGAAGTAGATCACCAGGCCTTTCTTCTGAGGTATCTCTGGGTGAACTCAAACCACCAGCTTTTCGGTTAGTAGCTGAGTGTGTTAACCGTTTGAACCACCTAGGGACTGCTTTGAAGCTTTGAATGAGAGGGGAAAAGGAATTGACATTTATCAACTTCGTGCTCTATGCGGGGCCCTTCAAGAAGGACTATCCATATGCCTGCTTAAGAGCAGCATCGAGTAACCCCCAAACCCTGGGCAAGTTAGTTAACTTCCCTGAGCCTTAGTTTCCTCATCTGTAAAATGGAGATAATAATGTCCACTTGAAAGGGTTTTTTATGATACAGGAAATAAGAGATGTCAAGTGCTCAGCACATGCCCGACACATAGTGGACAGAGCAGTAACATATCTCTGTTGATTTTGTGTTTTCGAGGGTGGTGGTGGTGATTTAATCACTTCAGAACACAATTCTTTTAAAACTAACTTCATCTGGCAGGCAGACTGCATGGTTTAGGACTTTAAATATTTTAATACTTTTAATATGTGCCTTCATTTTGGAAAATTTTAAATGCTTGGCCCAGATGGCAAGTTATGTAATTGGATGCCTACTCAGTCTAATTCTTCTGGAGTTTGAACTTCCCATTGGATAGAAAGTATTGCTCCCACTCTGAAACTAGTATCCACTTCTATATTCATTTACTTATGTGTTTATTCATTTATCACTTATCCAAAAAATATCTGTTGAGTGCTGAGTAATACTGTGTGTGGGGTTACGGAACCAAACGTGTCTCAGGAAAGTCCGTCTAGGAAGGAAAACAAGAATTTTATCTGCCGGCTTCTCCCTCGCATTGTTCAAACTTTGCCACTTAGGAACTCCCCTGTGCTTCTGGTCTGCATGGGTGGGAAGGGTGGCTCCCAGCAGGTTCCCCTGCCTCTTCTGCCTCGGTGTCAGTATCGATGGCCCAGGGTGGGGGCTAGAGGAGAGTGGATGGGGCACACAGTCCTGTGAAGGAAGCGAGCAGAGGCTCGGATGGGTTTTGCTTCTGAGGGAAGCCTGTTGTATTGTCACTGATATTATTACAAGAAGCCCAAGCTCCCATCACAGATCCTCTTAGTAATGCAGAGCACACCCAGCTTACCTTCAGGTTCACTTTGACAGTGATTGTTTCATTTACACCCTTGGATGTAACAAGTGGAGTCTCTGGGTGGTAAAAACGGGTAATGCACTCAGCTGCTAACTGAAGGGCTGGCTCTTCAAGTCCACCCAAAGGTGCACGGAAGAAAGGCGTGGCAATTTATTCCCAAAAAGATCAGCCATTGAAAAACCTATGGAGCACAGTTCTGCTGTGACACAAATGGGGTCACCATGAGTCGGAATCGACTCCACAGAGACTGATTTTTTATGTAACAAATTGGCTCCTCGTTATAAATCAGCTCTCTTGATTATTCTCGTGTGTATTTTTGGTTTCATTGATCACCTGGGAGAGTCACACCTGTCTCCACAGTCTCCAGCTCAGCATCCCTTTGTGCGCAGTGCCCACAGCCTCACGGACCTGGACCCTCAGACCTGCCAGGGAAAACTAAACTGCATTTTTTTGGGGGAGGGAGGTGTATCCTTTCTAACCTTTCTTTTTAAATTATTTTTTAGAGTAATTTTAGGTTTACAGAAAAATTATGCCAAAAGTACAGAGAGTTCCCATGTACCCTTTTCCCCCCTGCACACTGTTCTCCTGTTATTTGGATCTTGCATTTCAAACTGCATTTTGTAGTTCATTCCTAGCTTAAGTAGCTTGTCTTTTTTTTTTCCTTCATGGAGGATTTTTTTTTTTTTTTTTTTTTAGGGCTCTTTCACAAGATGATCAAGATGACATCCACCTAAAATTAGAGGATATCATTCAGATGGTGAGTTCAGCTATAGTTTTTCAGCTACAGATGTGCAAACTATCTCTCAAAGGCAAGTAGTATGCTTATAATTGATAACTGAGTATTGACAATATGCTCCATCACTGAGACAATCCACATTTGTTTGGGGGGTTAGCAGTTAGTCCATGATCTGAATGTCAGCTTTCATATGCTTTAGCTGTTAGCCGTGTCCTTTCGAAGCTAGGAGCCAGTGATGGATTTTATGCATCAGCAAATGCAGCTGTCTGCCTCCGCCTGGCCAGAGAGATGGCCAGTGCGTTGCTCCTGGGCTGTGTTTCATCTCCCTTCCTTCTCTCTTGCAGACTGACTATCTGAAGTCTGAGTGCTTTGAGACCTTGTCAGCCATGGAGCTGGCTGAGCAGATCACCCTCCTGGACCACATCGTGTTCAGAAGCATCCCCTACGAGTGAGTGCTGCCCCTCCCTGTGGCAGGGCTCCAGTGGGACTAGCTGGCTTAGAAGTTGACATTATTCCTCAGATAGATTGTGTGTGCAGGGGAGTGAGTCTTAATATGTTCTGGTCCCACTCGAACGCCTTTTGGATCCAGCTGATGTTGGAAATCTTATTTGGTGACTCTCAGGACTATTACTTTTCTGTTTCTGTACATACTCTGGTTACAATAGAATGTCAATTTCTCTGTCCGTGAATTACAGAAGCCTCAATAAAGCTCTAACAGCGGTTCTCAAACTTTACCAGAAACCAGTTGCCGTTGAGTCAGTTCTGACTCACAGCGACCCCATTTGTGTTAGAGTAGAACTGTGCTCCATAGGGTTTTCAGTGGCTGATTTTTTGGAAGCAGATTGCCAGGCCTGTCTTCTGAGGCTCCTCTGGGTGGACTTGAACTTCCAACCTTTTGGTTAGCAGCCGAGCATATTAACTGTTTGTACCACCCAAGGAATCATTTGAGAAGCTTGTTAAAAATGCAGATTCCTAGACACACACACACTTGCCCCCTCGGAGATTCTGATTCCAGTAGGTTTAGGTGAGGCCCAGAAAACTGTATTCTCAATGAGCATCCCAGAGAATTCTGGGTGGTCCAAAACTATACTTTGAGAGACACTGATCTAGGACTAATACTGTAAATCCTGCTACAGTTCTTCACCCACTTCAGTGAATCAACATGTATTGTTAAGCTTTGTGACCATGGACTCTTCACCAAAAACAAACCCATTGCTGTTGAGTCAATTCTTACTCATAGAGACCCTATACAGCCCTTTAATTTCCACATGTGAAGAGTAAGGGGTGGCTCTCTAACCCCATGCCCCCAGCTGTCATATTGTGTAGCTCTAGAAACAAGGCCTTTGTTTGGACAAATGGCAACTATTGGCACACATCTTCTGTGAACTGCTAGCCAAACTGAAGGTAAGGGAGGGTTTGGGCATGAGATATGAATGTGATCAGTGTTGTATGTAGAGAGGAGAACATCAGTGGTGATGGAGGGTGGGGACGTGGGTCAGAGGCTCAGCTGTGCTAGAGAGGCACGGGGGCAGGACCAGAGGCGCCCCTGCTGACTCTTCTGTTAACACATTTCCCTCCGTTTCTTGCAGCACTCATAGACCTATCTATAAATACGAAAAAAATAAAAATCGTAACAGGAATGTGGTCCCATTGAGCATAAAAATGAACCCTGTGACTATCTGAAGACTCCAGTTAGAAACCACAGTGCTTCATCCAGCCCTCTTCTGCCACTGCCTCCCCCTCACCCCAACTCCCTACTCCCCTCCAGAGCAGTCAGGGTGGGGAAGGGAAGGGAAGAGCATGACATCTGTGGAGGAGGGGAAGAAGCAAAGCCAGAACCTTCCTGTTTGCCTTGGCACAGTCTCGTCCTGGGACCCCGCTACCTTCTCCTCCCTGTCCCTGCCTCTGTACTTGTGTGAACACCTACCAGTTATTTCCATCTGTGGAGGTGGTATACTTTTATGCCCAACAGCTCTGCAGGATGGGAGCAGTGTCAACAACAGCAAGGGACAAAGAGGAAGACAGGGATTCAGTCAACATTTCTGTATTAACAACGTGACAGAACAATTTCAAGTTTTTTTATTTAATGCGCATACAAAATAATTCCTACATGCTTCATCTTAATTGTCCACTTCTTATTGAACAAGCATTTATTCTGCCTTTCCCATATACTGACACTGCTCTGGGCAGTTCCCGGAGAATGTCAGGACAAAGTGGAGGAAAAACTACTGTTATTAATTAAGATATTTAGCAGTAATGGATTTTCTGCTAAGCTTTAGTGTTTTTTTAAGTTAATTCATGGAAAATAGTCTTGGTTTCTGGGTTAGTACTTAACCTCTCTATTCGGTTGTGTTGGTCATTATTTTTCAATTTTGAGGAAACCTTTATAATGATGCTGATGGGACAGAGTTCCAAACAATTACAAGGAAAGCTGGAAACAGAAAACGTCTTTTTCTCTTCGGCATGAGTAGTGAAATGCTAGCATTGAGCTAAAACGTCTTTGAAATGGTCAGTAGCTGCAGGTGTCAGGGTAACACTCTGGACAGTGTCAAATTTATTACATCTAATTTCATACTAATTATTCAGGATCGTAACCACATTTAAGGAAAAGTTAATTGGTTTTGTGGTTTGTTTTGAACTTTCAGAGAGTTTCTTGGGCAGGGGTGGATGAAGCCAGATAAAAATGAAAGAACACCTTACATCATGAAAACCAGCCAACACTTCAATGATGTGAGTAACCAGAAACATAAAAACCTTGGGCACGTTACAGGAAGGTGAACATCAGGGTCTTAAGACTCCTCTAAAATAAAGCAACCTTGCCACATACTTTTTAAACAGAACTGATGGAATGTTCAAGACAAGCTTTAATCTCCTCTAAGAGCTCACAGTGATGTCATAATTTCCAGTGAACTTCCAGATGTGAGAGGTTCACTTTTGATGGTTCCCAAGTCTGGTAGGTGCTCAATAGCATATAAGTTGCTGTTATTATCTTTATCATAGCTATCATTACTTCGTGGTCATAAATCGACTTGTTCTAACAGAGTTAGAAGCGCGTGTGTTACTGGCCACTAGTGATGGTTGCTATCAGTAAGGTTGGGCTGGTACAACTTCTCATCATTACTGAACATTCAGCCCAGATGATATCACCAAACTGGAAGGGGCCTCTTTGTGCATAATTACATTGTTGTTGTGGCTCTGTACAATGGTGACCAGCTATTGGTCTGTCTTCCAGCTCTGCTTTTGTCCAGCAGTAAGACTAGGAGTTACTTTTATGCCCACTAACTCTTAATTGGTTCTGTTCTGATGGTCTTAGTCCTTTGGTGGAATTAGTAACAGATATGGGAGTGTCTTCAGGCTTAGCCGTCCAAAGGGAAGGCTTCCTTTCCAGGTCCACTAAATGACTGTAAAAGGAACAATGGTATATTTATTAAAAAAAGAACAAATTACCAGGAACCCAGTAGGTAAATTAATAAGTCATCCAGAATCAAAATACAAAAACAACAGTGCAGATTCCTAAGACAGTGCTTGGCACAGAGTCCATGGGCAGCACTAAATGCTGAGTGAACACTGTCACTTCATGGGCATCCATGCCTCTGTGCTGAGCAGACGGGGCACACGAGCTGTCTAGGCTGCTCCCTGGGCAGCAGAGCCCCTGCTGTGGAAAATAAGCCTCTATTGCCTATGCCGTATATACACTTGGATATAAAATGGACACTCAAATCAGAGGCTCAGTCCTAACCTCCAGACCCACAGACCTCCAGTTGACTGCTTGGCACTTTGCCCACAACAGGTTGCAGATGGAACTTACCATCAGCATCCTTGACCTGCCAAGCCTGCTTCTTCGTCTTTTTCTCTGTTCTCAGTCCTTATTAATGGCCTCACCATACACTCCGTCACCTAAGCACAAAAGCTTGAGGTCATTTTTTATTCCTTCTTCTCCCTTACCCATCTCACCTTCACCCCCCAACACATCAGTGAACCCTAAATCTGCATATGATTCAGATCCTTCCTCTCCGCTCCTTCCCCACTGCCACACCTTGATTTGACCTTTTACCCTTTGTCTCCTGAAGCACCTAACGCTTCTTTCCCCATCATCTCACTGCCCTCCAATCTGTTCTTCACTCAGTATCATGGGAATGGCTTTTCTGAAAGGCCAATCTAATTATGTCACTCCTTTTAACAAAAATCTGTCCGTGGCTTCCCTTCACCTTTAGGATACTGTCCAAAATGCTCAACCTGACATGCAAGAGTCCTTCCCGCCTGTCAGCCTTTCTCTCACCCCCATGCTCCTCAGATGACTGCCAGGTCCTTCATTCTGCCATGCCTTCCACCTCTGTCCCTTGCAAAATCTCTTCCACTTTGATGGAAAAACCAAAAAGCCAGTTGCCATTGAGTTGATTCTGACTCATAGCGACCCCATACATGTCAGTGTAGAACTGTGCTCCAAAGAGTTTTCAATGGGTGATTTTTCAGCAGTAGATTGCCAGGCCTTTCTCCTGAGGCACCTATGGGTGGACTCAAACTGCCAGCCTTTCAATTAGCAGCTGAGGGTGTTAACCATTCACACCTACTCATCCTTTAAGACAGTGTAGGCATTACCTCTTCCCAGAAGCCTCTTCTGTTCTTGGCTAGATGCCCCACCCTGCCTCCATGTTCTCCAAGCCATCTAAGCATAGACTTAGCTTTGCATTTCACTGTGTGGCATTTACTTATATGATTAGACTCAGAGTGCCTCAAGGTCAGGGACACTGATTTATTTGTTTTTTTGCTCCCAGCACCTAAAAGAATGCATGGCCCATAGTAGGTGATCAACACAAAATATGTACTTAATGAATAATGTTTTTATTCATTTAATGAAAGTATGTCTTTAATGAATATCCACAGTTATAATTTGAAGGCACTGTGAGATCTTAAATACCTTCAGAATCATCAAAGAACAGGCGCACCCGTCAGATTTAGTGTGTGGGTACAAAGATGATAAGCGCATATTCCCTTGGTTAATAATTCTACCCTGTCCTTTTCTTTCCCATTATTGCAAGTGTTGAGCTTCTTAAGATAGCTCTTTTGCTCTTGGCTTCAACTAATAGAATGACAGTATTTAGCCTTGAAACTGTAGGTCCTTTTAACCGCTGGTGGAAAAAAAGAAAATCAGCAAAATAAGGAGAAAATGTTCTCCCTTCCCCTGCAGCTAAGGGTTTGTGGTTTGAATGTTGGTCAGGTTAGAATATGGTGGGATTCGGGGCACGTGTGTGTTTTCTCTGTGTGAGAATGAGGCTTCCCACAGTGAGTCTGTCCACACTGCTGGGGGCCAAGGACCATGTGGAAGTGAAGCTCATGGTCTGCAAAGATTGCTTCTCCTCAGAGTTTAGTTTATTCTATTCCATTTTCTGAATAATTATTGACAATAACTCTTTCATCAAAATTATTGGTTAACACAATCAAGTCTTCTGAGCAGCGCCTCTCTTCACTCTAAGGATGAGCAGGTGCTCATCCATTTGTTGTTATTATTATCACAGACTTTAGTCTCTTCAGAAAATTGATATATAAATATGGAATCTGACATCCATGTCACCCAACACCCTGTTTTCCTGACATTTCTGAAGGTAACTCAGGCATTTTATCTTAATGCATTGTTTGGCTCTTGGCCTGCCTCTCTGGCTTTCTGATTGCCTCAGATGAGTAACCTGGTGGCTTCCCAGATAATGAATTACGCCGACGTCAGCTCCCGTGCCAACGCGATCGAGAAGTGGGTGGCAGTGGCCGACATTTGCCGGTGCCTGCACAACTACAATGGCGTGCTGGAGATCACTTCAGCCTTAAACAGAAGTGCCATCTACAGGCTGAAGAAAACCTGGGCCAAGGTGTCCAAGCAGGTGAGCGTCACCATGCGACATATCCCGCTGCCTAGAGGAGGAGAGGCTGGGAGAGGCTGGGAGGCAAGAGCCAAGATAAATATTAGTAATTAGGAAAGCGTTAACTGAAATGAGCAGCTTAGTTGCCAAAGAAAGGTGCCAGTGTGGGGTAATTACTGTGTTCTTACTACTTAATTGATTCCACTCATGTGCATTTCTAAATGGTTAATTTAGAAAATAAAATACAAGCCAAAACAGTCAGTAAAATATTTTAGGGGGTTACCTCAAACAATGTGGTTGTCGATCAGGAAGTGTTTACTGACTGACTTAGGCAGGGCAGATAAATACCATACTTGGCATTCTTTCTCCCCCAAAGTAAGGGTACAGATGCCTTAGTGCCAAAAACCAGGGACAAAGGGCCTCAACATTCACCTTTTTGTCATTTATGAAGTAAATTTAAAGTTCTGGCGTAATGACATGGGTGTGCAGGGACGTAACTGTTCTAATTTTTTTTTTAGCTGACTCAGCTTGCCCATGCCTGTCTTTTTGGTTCAGATAATTTCAAGATTCAAACTAAATTACCCAGGGGGGCCTGGGTGTCAGTGGGTATTGGGGAGGGCTTCACTGGGCTTGTGGGAGGATGTCTGCATCCCACTGGCCTCCTATTGCAGTCTGTTGCTGAGTGGTCATTGGGTGCAGGCCACTGTGAATCATCTGTGCCTGATGTACACATAGGTCCCTGGGTGCTGCAAATAATTTGCCCTCAACTACTAACCTAAAGGTTGGCACTTCAAACCTACCCAGCAGCACCACAGAAGAAAGGCCTGGTGCTCTGCTTCCGTAAAGATTACACCAAGAAAACCCTACAGTTCTACTCTGTAACACATGGGATGGAAATCAACTTGATGGCAATAGATTTGTGGTTTGTTTTTTTGTTTGGTATACGCATGGTCTGTGTACCCTACCCAGGAATGGTGCATGGTAATTGAACCAGGGAGCTTGGCTGACCTCACCTCCTCAGCAACCACCAGCTCTGCTGATCCTCTGAGACTGAAGTATGTCTTACCTCTAGCCCATGCCCACCTAGCAGCCTCTACTATGGACTGTCCTGCTCCTTGGTGGTCCCTGGTGGGCATGCTGACTCTTCATTATTAGATAACTACCTTGGCTCTCTCAAAGGGCCTTGGGGAATTTCCAGACTCCTCCATTTCTCACTGGTGCCAGATAGTGGGAGGGTCTTCTTTGGGCCCTCTCTGCCTAACCCTCTCACACACACCACTATGCCTACCTTGCTGTGACCACCCAAAGTTGGTGAAGGTCATCTGCATGGGTCCCCACCTCCATGGTCCCAGGTGGGAAAAAGAGCATAAATACATTCTGCTCTCATTTCTTCAAAACTATCTAGTTTCTGTTGCCTGTTCTGAGAATTTAAGCTCCAGATAATTTAAGTCCCCCTCAGGGACTCTCACCATTTCCTATTCTTTTCTACTTTTCTCTTGAAGTCTCTCTCTCTAGCAAAGGAGGGGCTTATGTCCTCCTTATATGGCCAAAACCCAAGCTTAAATCATGTCCTTCATCCCACTCACTCTATTCCTTAGTAAAAAGAACCTCAAATTTGGCCCCTGAGAATGTCTAAATCTTTTTTCTGTCAACAAAGTCTGACTCTTGCAAATAAAAGCCACAATTTTTTAAACTTTTTTTTTTTGAGATGGTTATAGATTCACATTCAGTTTGTAACAAACGATACAGAGATTTCCTACACCCTACACCCAGTTTTCCCCAATGATAATATCTTATATAACTACAGACAATATCACAACCAGGAAGTTGACATTGGTACAATCCACCAACCTTATTTAGATTTCACCAGTGTTACATGCACTCATTGTGTCTGTGTGTATTTCGTTCTGTGTGCTTTTATTATGTGGATATATTTGTATGACCAACACCACAGTCAAGATACAGAACAGTTCCATCACAGGGATCCCTCGTGCTACCCTTTAATAGCCATAGCCACCCCTCCTCCCCATTCCCTAGCTCCTGACAACCACTAATCTGTTCTCCATCTCTTTAATTTTGTCATGTCCAGAATGTTATATAAATGGAACTATACAGTATGTGAAGTGTCTAGGTGGTGCAAGTAGTATGAGATAGGCTGCTAACTTAAAGGTTGGCGGTTTGAACCCACCCAGCAGCTCCATGGAAGAAAGGCCAGGCAATCTGTTTCTGTAAAAGATTACACCAAGAAAACCCTATGGAGCAGTTCTACTCTAACACATGGGGTCACCATGAGTCAGGCACCAACTCAATGGCACCTAACAACAATTTACAGTATGTAACTTTGAAATTGCCTTTTTATCACTCATTATAATTACCTTGAGATCCATTTGAGATGTTAAATGTATCAATAGTTAGTTCCTTTTTAATGCTGAGTAGTAGTCCATGAATATGGATGCACCACCTTTTGTTGAAACATTCACTGCTTGAAGGACATTTGGGTTGTTTCCAGTTTTGGGCCATTACAAGTAAATCTTCTGTGAACATTCATGTACAGATTTTGTGTGAATATAAATTCTCATTTCTCAGAATAAATAACTAAGGGTGGATTGCTGGGTCATATGGTAAACATATGTTCAGTTTTATAAAAAACTGCAATACTCTTTTCCAGAACAGCTATACCATTTTATATTCCTACCAGCAACTTATGAGTGATCCAGTTTCTCTACATCTTTGCCAACATTTGGTGTTATCACTATTTTTTAGTTTAACCATTCTGATATCTCATTGTGGTTTTAATTTGCATTTTTAATGGTTAATGATGCTAAACATTTTTACCTGTGTTTATTTACCATCTGTGTATCTGCTTCAATGAAAGGTCTGTTCATATCTTTGGTGCGTTTTTTAAATGGGATTTTTTTTTTATGTTTTAGGTGAAAGTTTCTCATTCAAAAATTTATACACAAATTGTTTTGTGACATAGGTTGCAATCACCCAGTGTGTCCGCACTCTCCCCCTTCCCTTTACACCATGGGTTCCTGTGTCCATTCATCCAGGTTTCCTGTCCCTTCCTGCCTTCTTGTCTTTGCTTTTGGGCAGGTGTTGCCCATTTGGTCTCTTATACTTGACTGAACTTAGAAGCACGTTCTTCATGTATGTTATTGTTTGTTTTATAGGCCTATCTAATCTTTGACTGAAAGGTGGACTTCAGGAGTGGCTTCAATTTTGAGTTAGCAGGGTGTCCAGGGGCCATGGTCTTGGGCTTCCCCTAATCTCTGTCAGACCAGTAAGTCTGGTCTTTTTTTGTGAATTTGAATTTTGTTCTACATTTTTCTCCTGCTTTGTTCAGAACCCTCTATTGTGATCCCTGTCAGAGCGGTCAGTCGTGGTAGCCTGGCACCATCTAGTTCTTCTGGGCTCACGCTGGCAAGGGTGTGGTTCATGTGCTCCATTAGTCTGTTGGACTGATATTTTCCTTGCATCTTTAGTTTTCTTCATTCTTCTTTGCTCCGAATGTGATAGGACCAATAGATGCATTTTAGATGGCTGCTTGCAAGCTTTTAAGACCCCAGATGCTACTCACCAAAATAGGATGTAGAACGTTTTCTTTATGAACTGCGTTTTGCCAATTGACCTAGATATCCCCCAAGACCATGGTCCCCAGCCCTCAACTCTGTCCCTTAAGGTGTTTGAATGTGTCCAGGAAGCTTCTATGGCTTTGTCTTGGTCAAGCTGTGCTGACTTTCCTATACTGTGTGTTGTCTTTCCTTTCACCAGTTAACCCTTGTCTACTATCTAGTTAGTGATTTCCCCTCCCCACACACTCCCTCCCTCGTAATCATCAAAGATTATATTTTTCTGTGTGTAATCCTTTTCTTGAGTTTTTATAGTAATGGTCTTTTGTGATTAACTTATTTCATTCAGCCTAATGCCTTCCAGATTCATCTCTGTTGTGAGATGTTTTGCATATTCATCATTGTTCATTATCGTTGTAGATTATTCCATGGTGTGTATGTACCATAATTTGTTTATCCATTCATCTGTTGATGAGCCCTCAGGTTGTTTTCATCTTTTTTGCTATTGTAACAATGCTGCAATGAACATGGGTGTGCATATGTCTATTCGTGTGACGGGTCTTACCTCTCTAGGATATATTCCTAGAAGTAGGATTGCTAGATCATACAGTATTTCTATTTCTAGCTTTTTAAGGAGGTGCCATATCATTTTCAATAGTGGTTGTACCATGTTGCATTCCCACCAGCAGTGCATAGGAGTTCCAATCTCCCCGCAGCCTCACCAACATTTGTTATTTTCGGTTTTTTTTGATTTGTGCCAGTAATGGCAGGGTGAGATAGTAGTTTTGATTTGCATTTCTCTAATGGCTAATGATTGCGAGCATTTCCTTATGTGTCTGTTAGCCCCCTGAATGTCTTCTTCGGTGAAGTGTCTGTTCATATCCTTTGCCCATTTTTTAATTGGATTATTTGTCTTTTTGTTATCGAAGTGTTGAAGTATTCTGGAGGTTTTCGAGATTAGACCCTTGTCAGATATGTCGTAGCCAAAATTTTTTTCCCAGTCTGTAGGTTCTCTTTTTACTCTTTTGGCGAAGTCTTTTGACGAGCATAAGTGTTTAATTTTTAGGAACTCCTAGTTATCTAATTTCTCATCTGGTGTTCGTACATTGTTAGTTACGGTTTGTATTTAATTTATGCCATGTATTACGGCCCCTATTTTCTCTATTTTTCTTCCATGATCTTTATTGTTTTAGGTTTCATATTTAAGTCTTTGATCCATTTTGAGTTAGTTTTTGTATATGGTGTGAGGTATGGGTCCTGTTTCATTTTTGTGCAGATGGACGTCCAGTTTTTCTGGCACCATTTATTAAAAAGACTGCCTTTTCCCCATTTAATGAACTTCGGTCCTTTGTCAAAGATCAGCTGATCATAGGTGGATGGATTTACATCTGGGTTCTCAATTCCGTTCCATTGGTCAATGTGTCTGTCCTTGTACCAGTACCAGGCTGTTTTGACTATCGTGGCTGTATAGTAGGTTCTGAGATCAGGTAGTGTGAGGCCTACTACTTTGTTCCTTTTTGTCAGTAGTGCTTTGCTTATCTGGGGCATCTTTCCTTTCCGTATAAAGTTGGTGGTTAGTTTTTCCATCTTGTTAAAGAATGCTGTTGGTATTTTGAACAGGATTGCATTATATCTGTAGATCACTTGGGTAGGATTGACATTTTCACAATGTTCAGTCTCCCTATCCATGAGCATGGTATGTTTTTCTATTTATGTAGGTCTCTTTCGGTTTCTTGCAATAGTGTTTTGTATTTTCTTTGTATAGGTCTTCTATGTCCCTGGTTAGATTTATTCCTAAGTATTTCATCTTTTAAGGGGCTATTATAAATGGAATTTTTTCCTGATTTCTTTTTGAAGTTCTCTTTGTTGGTGTATAGGAATCCAACTGATTTTTGTATGTTGATCTTATATCCTGCTACTCTGCTGAATCTTTCTATTAGTTCCAGTCGTTTTTCTGTGCAATCTTTGGGGTTTCGCATGTATAGAATCATATCATCTGCAAATAGGAATAGTTTTACTTCTTCCTTTCCAATTTGGATGCCCTTTATTTGTTTTTCTTGCCTTATTGCTCTAGCTAGGACTTCTAGCACAATGTTAAATAGGAGTGGTGATAAAGGGCATCGTTGTTTTGGACTTGGAGTTGATTGAAGACTTTTGGGATGATGTGATGAGGTGAATGTGTTTTTCATGTGGGAAGGACATGAATTTTTGTGGGGCCAAAGGGTGGAATGTTATGGAATGAATTGTGTTCCTCTAAAATATGTGTTGTAAATTCTAACCTCTGTGCCTGTGGTTATTATCCCATTTGGGAATGGATTGTCTTTGTTTTGCTAATGAGCCAGGATTTGTATAGGGTTTGTCTTAAGTCAGTCTTTTTTGAGATATAAAAGAGATTAAACAAGGAATCTAAGAAGCAGAGATGGGGGAAGAGAGATGCCAAGCCACATGAAGATCACCCAGGAGCAGAAGTTGAAAGAGACAAGGACCTTTCTCTAGAACAGACAGAGAAAGAAAGCTTCCCCTAGAGCTGGCACCCTGAATTCAGACTTCTAGCCTCCTAAACTGTGAGAAAATAAATTTCTGTTTGTTAAAGCCACCCACTTGTGGTATAGCAGCACTAGATAACTAAGACAGGAATTTGTTTGTTTGTTTTTTGTAGATTCTTTGGAATTTTCTCATAGATAATTATGTCTTTTGCAAATAGGGACCATTTTCTTTCTTTCTTTCCAATTTCTATGCTTTTTATTTATTTTTCTTTCCTTATTACTCTGGCTAGCACTAGCCAGTACTATGTTGAGTAAGAGTGGTGACAATAGGCATCCTTACTTTGTTCTTGATTCTGGGGGTGGGGGCGGAGATGCATTCAGTCTTTCACCATTAAGTATAGTGTTAGCTGTAGGTTTTTTTAATAAATGCTTTTTATAAAGCGGAGTTAATTCCCCCCATTCCTAGTTTTCTGAGAGTTTTCTATCATGAATGAATGTTAGCATACTGTTTTTAAAATGGACTTCAAACAGCTATATCAGAATCCAAAAGCTGGGCACTGACCCTTTGTTTTGACTAGGTTTTGCCTTTCCCTAAGGCAGTGGAGCCCTGGTGGTGCAGTGGTTAAGAGCCTGGCTGCTAACCAAGAGGTCGGCAGTTCGAATCCACCAGCTGCTCCTTGGAAACCCTATGGGGCAGCATGAGTCAGAATCCACTTGACAGCAATAGGTTTTAAGGTGGTGGCTTCAGCCATTGGTCACTGGGTACAATGAGTATATTATCCTGTCACGTACTACAGTTCATCAGGGTCAGTAGTCACTCCTCTGCCTTCACTTTTCTTTGCCTTCCTTTTTTTTTTGTTGTTGTTGTTTCTTTTTTCCTCTGAAACCGAAATCTTCTTTAAGAAAGCATCTATATCTTCCCTGTACTTAAGGGATATTCATGGCTTTAATGGAATGCGGGTTTAGGAAAAACTGACCATGCAATAGAGATGCTAAGACTAATATTGAAATTATTGTTTCAAATTTTGAATATACCACCTGTAGAGGCATTAAATAGAATACATATACCATTTTGGCCACATGTTTGGGTCACTGAGAGTGGCTTTAGCATGGGCTGATGGACTGTCCTCTAGAGAGACTATCTCCAGGGTCCAGTGCCTCACTCCAGGTATGGTAGGTAGGGCCTGGTTGCAGATATGCCCTGCTTCAGATACCTTTGTGTAACACCATCTTCTCTGCAGCTGTCCCTTCCCAGGATCTGGATCCAATCTCGGAGAGGATCAGAAGGCCTGGTAGAATTTACACTCTGGAGCCCACCAGATTCTGTCAGTAGCTGTGGGATAGATTGTATTCTGTAGCTTCTTTGAGCCAAGGCCATCCCTGGGCAGGCAGGAGACCTACCTGAACCCATCGCCACCCCCTGTCCAGGTCTTGCTGTCTGTCTTCCCGGAGACCTCAGAAACCAGGGCGGGACAAGACAGCCCTTCTGAGACCTTCTTCTGAAAGCTCTCAGGAAGCTGTGCAGCTCCTCTCCAGGTTGGGACAGAGTAATCTAAGGAGACTCAACACTGGGCATCTCAAGTGTTTCTCCCTTGGGACTTGGAGGATCAGGGTCCAGCCAGGCTGCCTCCTGTGGGTATTACGGGGAGTGAGTCATCATCCCCAAGGGACCCTAATCATTCTCCCATTTCTATGGGAAAAACTCCAGAGCAGTATCAACAATCATTTTATTTCTCGGTAAATTATATTTTTCTAACAAATTGTTGAAAATCACAAAAGGAAAAGATACGGAGTAGAGTATGTTGCTGGATCAGTAGCAAAGCAACTAAATATGTGATTTGATAGTTTGGGGATTAACACTCAAAAAGATTCATCATGAAAACTCCTTGACATGAGACTTCTCCTTTAAGATCCCATATTCAACATGTGCTTTTCAGTTCTTTATGTCCCTAAATTTCTTGTGCTTTTACAATTTTTCTATAAATTTTTCCTTCTTTTCTGGCTAAATGTGTCGATGTGGGCACTTTCTCTTCTCCACGTGTTCTTCCTTTTTTTTTTTTTTAGCCAAATTTAAACATAATGCCTTATCTCTACCCTGTGAGAATCCTATTACACAACGACCTTTATTATGGTAAAGGTAATAACACCGGCCACTATAGACAAGAACTGAGCATTTTTTGGTAACTCAGTCTTATCAAACCGCAGGAGTATTTTCATGACATACTAAGTTGTTTTTTTTTTTCTTCCCTAGACAAAAGCTCTAATGGACAAACTTCAGAAGACTATTTCATCTGAAGGAAGATTTAAAAATCTTAGAGAAACCCTTAAAAAGTATGTCTATCTTAATTATTAAGAATATTCATAATTCAGAAATATATTTAAATAATTTATATAGTGTACAAGTAGTGACCTCCCTCTACTTTTCTTTGAAAAGAAAAACAAATGGGAAACTACTTTCATCATCTAGGTGTTTTTCTGATTTTCCTTTTCATTTGGAATACCGTGCATACGCTAAGTGTCCTATGGATATACTCCCTGTATGCAGAGTATTCCAAATAAGAAAATATCACCATAATAAATCAAACCATCTTTAGCATAAAAGGTTTCTTGATTAGGTATTTCCTAATCTAAGGACAATGACTTCCCATAGTTATTTTGTTTGAATATTCCAGCATCTGTTTATTATTATTAATTTATAGCCTTTTATTTCTGGAACATTCCCTTTTTCTACACACACACATACATACATACACACACACACACACCATTGAACCTATTTTCTTGCAACTGGTTTTCTCATGATCTACCATATGCACTTGACTTACTCAGAAGAAAAATATTAGTCCTGTGATGGCTTGAATGAAAGAAAGACTTGTAGTAATAATAATAATATAATTAATAGAACCACTTACTGAATACTTACTAAATGCCAAGCTCCACGCTAAGTGCTTGATGTGTCTTGTTTAAGCCTCACAACCAACTAAAGAGATAAGCTTTATTATCTCCGTTTTACAGATGAGGAAGCTGTGGTTCAGAAAGTTTACACAGTGTCACTTAGTAAGTGGTCAGGCTGGGATTCAAACTCAGTTCTCTCTCTGTATCAGAAGCCCATGATCTCAACCTCTAGCCTCTTTGAGGAGATCAACTATACACCCCCCCCAAAAAAAACCTCACCCTTTCGCGTGCAGTTGTGATGTTAATTAGGTCTTATAACATCTAAAATGTTTAAGTACTAATAAAACAGAAATTAAGTTTTAAGTTTTACTATGGTGCAAAGCTCTAATCACATTCATTATGCTATCCAGTTTCTTTAAGATTGCATGTTTGTATTTTAATGAAGTGAGGGCAAAAGGGGTTTTCGACAGGCTTTTACCCCTCCAAGAAGTGTGGCCCAGTTACAAGTATTGCAAACAAACAGTGGGCTGGCAAAGATTGTGCTCTTGCCCACAGAACATCCTGTTGTTTTCAAATACCATTGTTTCAAACACAGAGTAAGACATGGGCTATAATTTTGTATTGTATTCTATTGTGAAATGTAGTTAGGATTGCATAGCATGAGTGTGCTTCTGAAATGCAATAAAAAGAAAGTATTCTTCAGGACTGAAGCAGCATAGTTGCTTCCTGTTTACACTGGGGAGGAAAAATAGACATCTGTCCTACCAAGTATGAGAACAGTGCCTCTTGGTCTTGCAGTTGTAACCCCCCAGCAGTTCCTTACCTTGGAATGTACTTGACAGACCTGGCATTTATTGAAGAAGGAACACCAAACTTTACTGAGGAAGGCCTTGTCAACTTTTCCAAAATGAGAATGGTAGGTGATAATTTCATAATTAGCCTGTTGCAATTGACTTCAGTAGTTTGTAGAGAAGGGGTGAATGAGTTGTGAAGGTCACTGTTTGCTTTCTAATCCTGAGGTACAGGCAATGGTGAACAAGTACTAAGTCTAGTACCCGATTCTGCTGATGGAGGAGACTTTGGCAGAACAATTTCAGCTTGTAATATGGGCAAAGAGGTTGGGGAATACAGCTCCAGGGTTGACTTTTTAAGACTGACCAGTGATAGACAGACATTAAGGCTTCTTGATGGACAACTGGGGTCTGAGCACCAAGTTAGAAGCAGGAAGCCCATGGACAGTGGTACCCAGAGCTTGCCACTACCAAGTCTGTGTCTACCCGATGCCAGCTGTTCCCCTGACTGTGAATCTAGTATCTTCTTACTGTTGGCATGCCACGTGATGTGTTGAAGGGCAAGAAAGCACTGGGCATAGAGAATGATTGGGCAGGGCTCCAGATACCTCACTGGAGGAAGGGACTGGCTGCTCTAGGATGGGCCCCAGAAGAATATACTATAATACAGGGAAATACCTTTGCTTTGCTTTTGTTGTTGTTATTCTCTGTAGATATCGCACATCATCAGAGAGATTCGTCAGTTCCAGCAGACTTCCTACCGAATAGACCATCAGCCAAAGGTAATATTATGAGGCTCTAAGGAAATTAATTAAATCTGTCTTGGAAGAAGTACAGCCAGAACGCTCCTTAGAAACAAGGATGGTGAGTCTTCGTCTCACACACTTTGGACATGTTATTAGGAGTGACCAGTCCCTGGAGAAGGATATCACGCTTGGTAAAGTTAGAGGGTCAGCGAAAAAAGAGGAATACCCTCAACAAGATGGACCGATACAGTGGCTGCAGCACTGGGCTCAAACATAGCAACGATGTAAGGATGGCACCAGACTGGGTAGTGTTTCATTTTGTTGTACACAGGGTTGCTCTGAGTCGGCACTGACTTGATGGCACCTAACAACTAACAACAACTAAAGAAATTAATAAGTAAAAAATCAGAAATTAATGAATTAGAAAACAAAAGTAGAGTTGCTCAATGATACCAAAAGCTGGCTGATGGAGAAGATCAATAAAACAGACAAACCTTTGGAAAGTCTGATCAAGAAAAAAAAAAAAAGAAGGCAGAAAGAATATCAAGAATGACAAAGGGGACAAAGTTATAGAGTTACAGATAAAGATGATACCTTGATATTGTAAGAAAATGCATGTAACTTTATGACGACAAATCTGTATTCATAGACAAATCAGCTGCTTTCTAGAAAGTAGAAATTACAAAAATTAACTGAAGAATATAGGCCAGTAACCATAGAAATCACCATTAGATAACCATAAGAAAGCTGGATCCATCCCTTTAAAAAAGCACAAGGCCATGATAAGTTTAAGGACAAGTTATACCAAATCCTCAATAAACAGATCATTTGTATGCTTTAGAAACTGTACCAGAACATGAAAAAGGTAGGAAGCTACTCTCCTCATTTTTTTAAGCTAATATAACCCATTCATTCCACTGAACAAGGAAGAGCAGACTAAAAGAAAATCAATGTCAGTTACGAAGATAAATATAAATAGCCTAAATTTCATGTTTGCAAATCATATGCAACCTTGCAAGAAGAGAATCCATGCATTCAAGACTAAATCAGATTTATTTTAGGAATTTAAGTTTCGCTCAACACTATAAAATCTCTCAATGTAATTCATTACATTGACTGATGACAAGGAGAAATAACACTACGTGATCATGATACAAAGCCAAACCCATTGCTGTCGAGTCAGTTCCGACTCATAGCAACACTGTAGGACAGAGTAGAACTGCCCCATAGGGTTTCCAAGGAGCAGCTGGTAGATATGAACTGCTGAACTTTTGGTTAGCAGCTGGGCTCTTAACTACTGCACCACCAGGGCCCCATGATCATCATAGATACTGAAAATAACATTGGATAAAACTGTAATTCTGATTCCTGATTAAAAACTTTTAGCACCCTAGGAATAGATGGAAACCTCTTTAACATGATAAAGGTATCTACCAGAAATAAACAGTATGTACTTGGGCAAAATATTGGAAGCATTACCATTTATCCTCTCCTTGAAACTTCTCTTGCTTTGACACAGCTTTCCCCTAGTTTTCCTCCTGCCCCTCTGGCTCCTTCTCTTTTGGGGCTTGTGAGGTTTGGCCTCTTCTACCTGGTGGTTTCTAAGCTCTGCCCTAGCTCATCTCCTGTCCTGACTCTAGACCCTCTCCACAGGTGGTCTCACCCATACCCAAAGCTTCCATTATGTGACAAAGAGCAATTATTTTAAAAAGTTAAAATACAAGCAGTAGACTGGGAGACGATATTTTCAACATATAAAGCAAAGATACAGAATATGTAAAGCACTCCTATAAAGCTATTTTTAAAAAGTATAAATAACCCAGTAGAAAAATTGGCAAAGCTATGAACAGGTAGTTGACAGAAAAAAATTAAAATGGTCAATAAATAGTTGAAAAATGTCAGCCTGGTACTTGTACAACGACAGATACATTGACCAATGGAACAGAATTGACAACCCAGATGTAAATCTATTCACCTACGGTCACCTGATCTTCGACAAGTGCTCAAAGTCCATCAAATGGGGAAAAGACAGTCTTTTTAACAAATGGTGCTGGCAAAACTGGATATCCATCTGCAAAAAAATGAAACATACCTCACATCATATACAAAAACTAATTCAAAATGGATCAGAGACCTAAATATAGAGCCAAATACTATTAAAAAAAATTTGAAAAATACCCAAATTCACTAGTAAGAGGGAAAATACAAATTATAATGAGAGTTTATTTTCACCAATCAGATTGGCAAAAATTAAATAGGTTGATAATTTCAAACGTTGGCCAAGGTATAGGGAAACAGGTGCTCTTATGTGCTACAGGTATAGCAGTTTAGGAGATAAACTGACATCATCTTTTAAAATTAAAAATGATTATACTGAGCAGCTGGAATGCTTATTCTTTGCTGGTGAGAGTGTAATGGTGCAGCCATTTTGGAAAACTTGTGGTTTCTTAAAATACTAAACACACATCTACCTGATGACCCAGCAATTTCTATCTTAGGTGTTTACCCAAGAAAAGTGAAATCAAGTCCATTAAAGCCTTGTACAAAAATGTTTACATCATTTTTAAAATAATAGCCAAAAATCGGTAACAGCCCACATGTCCATCAATAGGTGAATGGATAAACAAATTGGGGTATATCCATACAACTGAATACCAAAAAACCAGTTGCGAGTCGGTTAGACTCATCGCGACCCCATGTGTGTCATTGTAGAACTATGATCCATAGGGTTTTCAATGACTGATGTTTTGGAAGTACAGGCAGTCCCTGGATTACGAACGAGTTCTGTTCCTAAATCTGTCTTTAATTTGAATTTGTACGTAAGTTGAAACAGTTAGGTATACAATTCGTACCTAACGTCAGTTAGCCAAATGTTTGTCTTAGTATATAGTGTACCTTTCTATGCATAAAAACATTAAAGAAACACTTCCAGATACACTCAAACATCTTTAACATAATACAGCAATAATAATAATAGTGTTTGATGCAAGTTGCAAAGTAGTGCCCGTTTGTTATTATGAACCATTGTATGTACCTCGAATTTTTAATATAATAGGCTTTATGGAGCTGGTTCATAACTACAGGTTGTACGTAAGCCAGGCGTTCATAACTTGAGGACTGCTGGTAGATCACCAAGGCTTTCTTCCAAGATGCCTCTGGGTGGACTCAAACACGCAGCCTTTCAGTTAGTAGGCAAACATGTTAATCATTTGCACCACTCAGGGACTCCATACAATGGAATACTACTTGGCAATAAAAAGGAACAAACCACTGATGCATGCCACAACATGGATGAATCCCAAAACATTATGCTAAGTGAAAGAAGCCAGACACAGAGTACATTCTGTATGGTTCCATTGATATGAAGTTCTAGAATAGAAAAAAACTAATATTTGATGAAAGAAATCAGAGCAGTGGTTGCTTCTGGGGATCAGATTGACTGGAAGGATGCACGAGGGAACATTCTGGGTGATAAATTGTCCTATATCATAATGTGGTGTGAGTTACATGGATGTACACATTGTCAAAACTGGTTGAACTATTCATTTCACTTATCTAAGTTATGTCTCAATAAAAATAAATATTTTCATAGAAAATGCCCACAAATTTTTATTGCCCATGTCATTTCCTTTCATCTCATTTCTACCCTAGAGGAACATTCACATGTGTACACTAGGGAGTATGATAATAAGGATTTCACTGTAACTTTGTGTAATAATGAAATATTGTTAGCAACTAAATATCCATCAATACGGAAATCATTAACTACACTCTGATGCATCATACTATTAAGTACTGCACAGCAGGTAAATTTCTATGAACTGACATGGGGAGCTCTCTGACAACTTACAGTTAAGAGGTGAAAGCAGAATACAATGAACAGAATGATACCATTTATGTTTAAAAGAAAAGGGCAATTTCTTTAAGTACATCTAATGTCTATAAAGACATAGTAAAACGTCTGGGAGGATACAAACCAAATGATAACAATGGTTCTTCTTGATGGAGGTGCCTGAGATTGGAGGTTGGTAGGGGACTGAAAAAAAAAAAACAAACCCATTGCCGTCGAGTCATTCCGACTCATAGCGACCCTATAGGTCAGAGTAGGGATGTTTGATTCAGGGCTTTGAACCGGTTCGTTCCGGTTTGAACCCCTGCTGAGAATTTGCATTTCTAACAAGTTCCCAGGAAGATATATATAAGAATCCCCTGGCAGTCTTGTTAAAATGTAGATCCTGATTCAGTATATCTGGGGTGGAAACGCAAATTTCAGCAGAGAACTTGTTAGAAATGCAAATTCTTAGCAAAAGCTCAGAGCCCTTGTTTTATTCTTTTACAATGAGGGTATATTCGTAATTTTTTTAGTTATATAAAATTTTAAAATATTTATGAGAAAATGTTGAATTAAAAGAGATGGTCAGATTCCATTCAAATAGAAGTGTTCTGAAAGAAATGAGCTGAATTTCTCTTTTTTTTTTTCAGGCTACTCAGTACTTGCTTGACAAAACTCTCATCATAGATGAAGATACGTTATATGAGCTGTCACTAAAAATTGAACCACGACTCCCTGCTTGAAGACTGGCCTTGCCCTGTGTCCACAGGATTTTCACGGGAAGCAGGACAAACAGAATTTGCATGCCATGCCTCCCACAGTGCAGGGAGAGGACAGAGGAGACAATCCAGTCTCCTTTCTCCACCAAAGAAGGCAAAACCAAATGGGAATTCTGTCTCCCACAAGGGAGGCATAGCTGTTTAGGATGAAAGACAATGCTGCAGACTTGGGTGGGAAGGTGAACAGATTGATATTTGGTAAACCTGATGGCACGTTGTGCATTAAGGGACTGTAAGGTGGGAGATGCTGGTAGCCATTTTAATGAAGCAGGTAAGAAAGCAAATTGTGAACCAAGTCCCGTGTTCTGTTAAAACCTGGGACAAGGATTCGTGGAGGAGACCTGTGGTGGTTCTCTGGCCTTTTACTGGCTTGGGCACACCTACCAACACTCCTAGGATTTAACGGCATCCATTACATTTCCTTTTGTTACAAGCTTCACAGAAAAGCCTAGGCCAACACATAAGCAATTTCAGTCTCCAGCATGTGCATGGTTTTCAATGCATTATAAATATTTATATTTGAGGAATGATGTGTTCTGAAATGGCCTTTTCAATCTTTAGGCAACTGGACAGGGAAAAAATGATGAAAGGCATGTGGATTTGTACATAACATTTCCTTAATTAAGAATCAGTAGACTGTGCCACAGAGGATTCCAGCCAGTGGGTGTCTGGAGGGGAGGGAGGCATTCTCCTGAGGCTGGTGGCGCCCAAGAAGCCAGCTCCCTGGAGAGACCTGCGCCGAGTATGCAAAAGATGGCTCATTAAGGTGCACACTCCCTCACCACCAAAACTGAAGAACAAGATAAAAAGCCACAAGTGCTTTGGGGAACAATGGGTCTCAATGTTAAGTGAAAATATATACTTAAAAATCGTCTCTGCACCTTGCTTTGCTTCTTCTTTTTTTTTTTAACCCCTCTCATTGTGATGTGGTTATCTATTCTGATTTACACAAAACTTTTTTAGGCTCGCTATGAATGTTAGTTGTTTTTTTTTTAACGAAAAGTTGTTCAGTAGGATTTTCCTTTTTAAAACCCACACTCCCATGAGCTGTTAGTAGACAGTTCTCCCCTAGCCATCCTTAAAAAAAAAAAAATGATTTTGAGATATTTGCAAGTGAAAATATTATAAGTGCATAGGAGATGGCCCCAGCCACCCAACAGCTCTTGTATCAGAAAACCAAATGCAGAGTTAGCCCTGCTACTCTAGCTGGGGAAGTGACCTTGCTTTTCCCAAGATTGTCACTTGTTGAAGAAACAGTGCTATCTCGTTTACCTCCCTCTCTTCTTCTCAGGGAGAACATTGCTTTAAAAGAAGGACAAGAACAAAATATAAAGTGACTGTTACCTGAGCCTATCGCACCCGACACTTTCTTAGAGGCATGAAGCTTATCGATGCCAACAATGAGAAATTGATCTGTCTGGCTTTTTTCCTTCTTTCTTTGCACTTTAATTATGATGTTAGAGCTAATGGCTGACCAATAAATTCCACTTGTGGGCTCTTAAGACCCGTGGAAGTGGTGGCATTGATAATGTACCATAGAGATGGAGAATGTACATTTTCTGCACGATAAGGGCCATCTCTGTACATAACTATATAGTGAAATATCAACTAAGAAAATATAGTATTTGAAGACCGTTCCAAAAAATATTTTCAATAGCTCGTATCAGCCAACAGTGTAGCACTAAGCCCGAGGAGGGTTATGTATGGATGCTTTATTTTTCTTTTTTTAAAAAAAGTTGCTTGTTTGTTCCTTTTAATATCAAATAAGAGGTTGACGCATCTTTATGCATGATAAGAAGCATGGGTTCTTTGGATGCTAACAATGCGTAACTTGCAATTTATTTCACAGTGTTCAGAATGCAGGGTTTAAAATAATATACATAGGTTTGCACCAAACACATCAAGATTTTGCAGAAGAAAAGGAGAGTAAAGATTAGTTAAAAAACATAATCTTGCAAGTAAACTAAAACCAGGACAAATCAAGGAAAGGACCACACACATTCTAGTTTCATGCAAAACAACACACAGAAAAGTCAATGCCTTCTTTGTCTTGGAGTCCCCAAAATCCTTCAGAGGGAAGGAGGTAGGTTCTGTATGTACTTTCCACAGTCTGGTCTTTGAGTTTGTCTCTATTGTTGGAATGTGTACTCCTGGCTGCATCTGCCTGGATTCCATTATATGAGATCTTATTTCTAAAAGTAGATGGAAGGTCAACCGTCAACAACCAAGTAGCGAACACTTACGTTGCAAAATTAACCTAGAAAATCAGAAGTAAAAATCCAATTTCATGCTTTCAGATGAATACTCAACATTTTTTACCGTCAATTAAATTATCTTGGGGCTTTTACGGGATGCCTTTGAATATTAACTAAGAAATCTGGTTTCGCTACGGGACACAGCTCTTACTTTAAGCCAGTATATTATTTGACAAAATCAGGCATGAAGTAGAAAGTTGTCACTTTTCCTTAGTGTTTCTCCAAAGGAATCGAAACAGGGATTTTTAAACTGCTGTTGTAATATTTTCAAGTGGCTATCACACAAAGTCCCCATTACTGTTTGTTAAATTTTAGTACACCTTAAAGTACTGCTTTAAGTGTGCATGATAGACCAGCACCTCTCTCTCACAGTATTACATGAGACAAAACATTGGACCAGCAATGATTGGGTGGCTTTTAAATTCTTAACTAAAAATAGTAATGCAATAGAGGAGTTACTCCCCATAAAATTAACTTCAGTTTATTTGAAAACAAAAAAAATTTTATTTAGCTTTTCTTTTCAAAATTTGATTTTATTCCCCCTGGGGGGAGAAAATCTATCCCTTCATTTTAATGTCTGAAAATGTTGATCCAACCTGCAAAGTTAAGCATTTTTACTAGAATTGAAAGGGGAAAAAGATAACATCATTTATGGCTAAAGAGTAGAGCCAGGCTAATGTCCACAGCAAGAAGGAAAAAACATAACATTCATTTTTGTATCAGTAAGAAAACAGTGAAAGTTTGAAGAATGACTCGATTAAGATGCCACCACATGATTCCTGGTAATAAGACTTGAGTCCATGAAATGTAATCAGTGTCATTTCTCAGTGGCTGCTAGTGACTTAAAATTGGGGCAGGGCAGAGGTAAAGTAGAAAACAATCATTTTGTTGTAGGTATAAATACTTGAATGAGTCAGAAAATTACTCATCCCAGCTACCACCAGCATGGCATTAACATCAGGGTTGATTGTATTTGTTCTGATCTGCTCACGGAAAATAACAGTTCTACCTAGTGATGTTGAGCCACTGTCTTTTAACAACCCATTTCATTTTGTATTAGAAAGGCAGTTGTGAAAGAGCACTGAACTGGGATCCCTAGCCCTGAACCCAAAGCCTGGATCTACATCTACTAGCTGGGAAACCTTAGGCCAGTGCTTAAGCCTCTCTGAGCCTCAGTTTCCTCATCTGCAAAATAGGGTTAACAGTAATTCCTGTGCTGTCTACCTCACAGGGCTGTCGTGAGGACCAAATGAATTAGACTATAAACTAAAGTGCTGTTCAAATGTGAGGTAACGTGATTACCATCCTCAGCTCTCTTTTGCAAAGGATTTAAATGTATTTTTTTCTTATTTGTGTGTGTGTGTGTGTGTGTGTGTGTGTGTGTGTGATGGACTCTACTCTGTCCTGTAGGGTCACTGTGAGTCGGAATCAACTCGACTGCAATGAGTTTGGTTTCTTTTTTTGTTTTTGTGATGGACAAACCCATGTGTTACTTTGAGAAGCTTATTGTTTGTTTTCCAGTTACTTTGCCAACCCACCGACATTTGTGATTCTGACAGAGTGGGGGTTTGTGCTGTGACCTAACACATTGGGTGAGGTATGGATTATGCCTTTATGCAAATTAAACTTAGTCTTTCTTGACTTGTCAAAATCCTCATAAGTTTCTTCATTTAACTCTTGCATGTTTCTACTTTGTCGTCTTCATTGCAATGAGCTCCCTTGGTGTTCAGATATCCTTTAACCTCCAAAATTTAGGAGGAAATAAAAAACAACAAAAGAACAATTTAGAAGTCCATGTTGTAGGCACTAAAATATTAGGCAATTTGGGGGACCTCAGAAACTATATTAAGGCTGGTGATCTACTTCCAAAAAATCAGCCACTGAAAACTGAATGGAGCACAGTTCTCCTCTGACACACATGGGGTCACCCTGAGTTAGAATCAACTCGATGGCAACTCTTTCTTCCTGGGAAGGGGAGACTCCGGAGGAAACTGCTGTAGATAGGAGAGGAGCCCACTGACCTGCGAACAGTATTTGAAGCTTCCCGCCTAATGAGGAGTTACCTGGTGAGTTGAAAGGGAGATTTTATCCTCTCAGAGGCTATAGGGAGAGATCTGCCTATTCAGGCGATGCTTTGATTTGTCTGCTTAGAGGGTAGAAAATGATCTCTCAGGGCCTGAGATGAAGGAACTCATACTAGAGGAAGAACTGGGAGTTTGTGAGAGAGCTGCAAGGAGAAGAGAGAGAGAGAGAGAGAGGGATGAGGAAAGAAGAGGGTGAGCCCCGTAGTGGAATTTTCTGGGGCGCCATGTGTGACCTACCACACTTCCTAAACTACAAAAATACAACAGCAAACACACACAAAACGCTCAGGATAACTGAATTTCCTGTGGAAATTAGCAGAGGAGTCAAGCTCTACATACACATTGATATGTGGCGGAAACATTTAGCTTGCATGGATAATGGAAGAGCTGACATATGGGGAATATTTGGTTTTAGGGTTTCCTTGTCACTGATACTTAGTGCCAGTTGCCCTCACTATTGGTCTGGTCTTCATGCTGACAAAGCTTCAGAGTGTCCACTACATACACAGCATGGGAATCTGCTTGTGTAGTCACAGCCGATTGGTCAGGGGTAGTCACCTGACTCAAAGACAGTTTACAGGCTGGCCAGCAGCCTGTGAATAGTACACAGTGCTCTGCCCAACAGGATGCTGGTGGCTAAGTGGACCATGAGCCATGGAAAGAGAATTGAGCACCTGGTAGTTGAGGAAGAAGCCATAAGACACGGAGGAGTAGAGATGAAAGAGCAGCTGATAACAATAAAGCCATGGTTCTCAACCCTGGCTGCACATTAAGTCACCTGGGGGGGCTAGATCCCAGGCCATACCCCAGACCAGTTAAATCAGAATTTCTGGGGAGCAGGACCCA